CAGTGGTACCTCGGTCAAGTACTTAATTCGTTCCGGGGGTCCGTTCTTAACCTGAAACTGTTCTTAACCTGAAGCACCTCTTTAGCTAATGGGGTCTCCTGCTGCCGCTGCGCCGCCGGAGCAAAATTTCTGTTCTTGTCCTGAAGCAAAGTTCTTAACGTGACGCACTATTTCTGGGTTAGCGGAGTCTGTAACCTGAAGCGTCTGTAACCTGAAGCATATGTAACCCGAGGTACCACTGTACTGAAGTTCACTAGCACAAATATGTCATTTTGGCTGCCACCAGGCCCTTCCTTTCCCTTATCAACATGTGTAGCTTTTTCTGAATGGCTACTACTTGGACATCTCCTTTAGGACAGGGAATCTGTGGCCCTCCAAGTGTTGCTAGATGCCAACTCCCATCACTCCTTGCAGTTGGCCGTGATGGGAGCTGGGAGTTCAACAACATCAGGACGGCCAGAGGTTCCCCATCCCTTTGCCTTACAGTCAGCAAAGGGGCCCGGGAACGAGCCTTTGCTCCTTCAGATGTGCACAGGATACAGCTTCCGATACCACAGGCTGCTTCCTTGTAAAGTCAGCACACCCAAACATTCCCCGCCGTAGTGTTTCATTTCATTTCTGCTAGGTCAGAGAAGTGAGAGAAAACGGCATATCCCTTTTTGTGAAAAACTCAACTGAAACCCCTTGCCTTGATGAGTGAGAGAAGACAGCATGTCCCCACCCACCTGTGGCTAGGATGCCTTGGCATAAAATCACAGAATTGTAGAGTTGGAAGGGACCATGAGGGTCACTGGGAGCCAGTGTGGTGTAGTGGTTCAGAGCGGTGGACTCGTAATCTGGTGAACTGGGTTTGATTCCCCACTCCTCCACATGCAGCTGCTGGGTGACCTTGGGCTAGTCACACTTCTCTGAAGTCTCTCAGCCTCACTCACCTCACAGAGTGTTTGTTGTGGGGGAGGAAGGGAAAGGAGAATGTTAGCCACTTTGAGACTCCTTAGGGTAGTGATAAAGCGGGATATCAAATCCAAACTCCTCCTCCTCATGTAGTCTATGTAGGAATCCTTTCGTCCAGTGTAGTGCATGACCCTGGGATTAGGAGTCTCATGGTTAGGAGTGCCACTGTATTCTGCTCTGGTCAGACCTCACCTGGAGTACTGTGTCCAGTTCTGGGCACCACAGTTCAAGAAGGACACTGACAAACTGGAACGTGTCCAGAGGAGGGCAACCAAAATGGTCAAAGGCCTGGAAACGATGCCTTATGAGGAACGGCTAAGGGAGCTGGGCATGTTTAGCCTGGAGAAGAGGAGGTTAAGGGGTGATATGATAGCCATGTTCAAATATATAAAAGGATGTCATATAGAGGAGGGAGAAAGGTTGTTTTCTGCTGCTCCAGAGAAGCGGACACGGAGCAATGGATCCAAACTACAAGAAAGAAGATTCCACCTAAACATTAGGAAGAACTTCCTGACAGTAAGAGCTGTTCGACAGTGGAATTTGCTGCCAAGGAGTGTGGTGGAGTCTCCTTCTTTGGAGGTCTTTAAGCAGAGGCTTGACAATCATATGTCAGGAGTGCTCTGATGGTGTTTCCTGCTTGGCAGGGGGTTGGACTCGATGGCCCTTGTGGTCTATTCCAACTCTATGATTCTATGATTCTATGGTCTACCAACCTCTAGCCAGACTCACTATTCTGTGCCCAAACCACTGGCCACTTCTGGATTTGTCCATGGTCCACCAAAACCTGTTCCTCTGTCTGCAACCCACTGGCCCCTCCTGTTGTGTGGAACTCATAGATACCTTAGAACTTTGTCTCACTATGTACCTCCTGGTCTGATCCCACCCCCAGCCATGACAGGTTGCTCAGTCACTCACCAATCCTTCACCACAATCGTGGGCCTGCCCTCATCCATCAGCTCGTCCCAGTAGCCTTCATCCTTCAAAGTGATGAGCTGAGACTTGACGCAGAGCCTGAGGCACAAAACGGGAAAACCATCAAAAACCACCCTGAGAGTTTGGACAACGCTGCTTTCAATACATGCTTCGCACATCTATTGGGTTGGCTGTTGCAGGAAGCAGAATGTCAGATGATAGCCACATTCACACCATTAAAAACACTCTGATGCCACTTTAGCCAGTCATGGCTTCTTCCCCCAAAGAATTCTGGGAGATGTAGTTTGTTAAAGGTGCTGAGAGTTATTACCAGACCCCTGTTCCCCTCACAGAACTACCATGCCCAGAGCTCCCTGGGGAAAGAGGGGTTGACTGTTAAGCCACTCTGGGAATTGTAGCTCTGTTTGGGGAATAGGGGTCTCCTCACAACTATCAGCTCCCTTAAACTACAGCTCCCAGAATTCTTTGGGGGAAGCCATGACTTACTGAAGTGACATCAGAGTGTAATGTGTGAATGTGGCTTATATGGGGCTTTACCCTAATCCTGCAAGGTTCCTACCATTGTAAGATTTAAAGAGGGAATGGACAACTTTTGGGCTTAAAGTTATTGCTTGACACCCCCCCCCCAACTCCCATCATTCCTGACCACTGGGCATGCTGGCTGGGGCAGAGGGGAAATGGAGCCCAACAACATCTGAGGGGTTCCCCACAAAGAATAAAAACCCTAGCATAGAGTTATCCCCTTCTGTGATTACAGTGGTACCTTGGTTCCCAAACATAATCTGTTCCGGAAGTCTGTTCCAAAACCAAAGCTTTCTAAAACCAAGGCATGCTTTCCCATAGATAGTAATGCAAAATGGATTAATCTGTTCCAATCTTTTAAAAACAACTCCTAAAACAGCAATTTATCATGAATTTTACTATCAAAAAGACCACTGTTCCATAAAATGAAAGTATCAATGTACTGTAAAAGGTAAAGGTACCCCTGCCCGTACGGGCTAGTCTTGCCAGACTCTAGGGTTGTGCGCCCATCTCACTCTATAGGCCGTGGGCCAGCGCTGTCCGGAGACACTTCCGGGTCACGTGGCCAGCGTGACATCGCTGCTCTGGCGAGCCAGAGCCGCACACGGAAACGCCGTTTACCTTCCCGCTTGTAAGCGGTCCCTATTTATCTACTTGCACCCGGGGTGCTTTCGAACTGCTAGGTTGGCAGGCGCTGGGACCGAACGACGGGAGCGCACCCCGCCGCGGGGATTCGAACCGCCGACCTTTCGATCGGCAAGCCCTAGGCGCTGAGGCTTTTACCCACAGCGCCACCCGCGTCCCATCAATGTACTGTACTATAAAATAAATAAGACAGTATTGTAGATGATAAAAAAACTTTAAAAAAAAACCTTACGTGCACTGATGATAGTCATTGTTTGGATGGGAGGCTTTTATCCATTTCTGCAGTCACACAATCAGTCAGTAGCTGAACTGGGTTCCACACAATCACAAAAATGAAGTCATAAGCCACAGCCACAAGTCAGTCCCATAAAACGAAGAACAAGTCGCAGTCAAAAAACCAAAAAAGCCACACAAACAAAAGAGCAAAAAATAGCAAAAACAAAAGCTCCGAATATCACCTCTGTGTTGCATTGGTGCTCGGAACTCAACAGCTAGCAGACTCAACAGGAAGCCTCTGATTAGCAGCGGGGGACTCAATTTACAAATGGAACACACTCAACAGGAAGCAGAACATGTTCTTCTTCCAAGGTAACGTTCACAAACCAGAACACCTACTTCTCGGCTTGCAGCGTTCTATTTCCAAGTTGTTCATAAACTAAGCTGTTCTAAAACCAAGGTACCACTGTATTGTATTTGAAGAGGAGGTACTATCTCCTGGATAGCCCAGTTGGTTAGAGTGTGGTAACACAAAGGTTGAAGCCAATCTAAGTTAGTAATGAGCATTCATTTCAGTGGGTCAGCTGCATATTCCTGCATTGCAGGGGGGTTGGACTAGATGATCCTCAGGGTGCCTTCCAGCTCTTATGATTCTATGATCTACATGCATGAATTATGGCTCAGCCACTGCTGTGATCCTCACCGACCGTAGGCAGCGAAGCATTTGTTAACCTCTTGATAAGGGATGGCGTCATCTTTCACATAGAAATGCCTCTGAAGGAAATCCCACTTCTGGAGTTTTGAGGAATCCGCTTCTGACATTTCTTTAGTTTTCCACTGGCCCCTTGGAGATGTTTGGGTTTCCCAGAAGTCCAAGCCCTCTGGGAGAAAAAATGAGAACGTAAGAGCAATAAGATGGGCCAATGGCCCATCTAGTCCAATATCCTGTTCTCGCCACAATCCCATAGTCTCCTTAGACTCGACTTAACCATCCAGGGGTCTTTACCTTTACCTTTACCTTTACCTTTAAGAGAGATGTGGAGCTCTACAGTTGCCCCAGGTCTGGGGTTTCTGCCCACTGCTATGTATATTTGCTAACTTTGTGTCCTTTTAAATTGCCCTTTTTCTGTCTCCATTCAAATCCACTCAAATGTGTCCGTATCTGAATATTTGGGGGGAAATGGGAACTTATAGCTGCATTCTCTCTACTGCCTGTTCATAAGATTTTACTTATCTCCAATCCTGCTACCAGCCTAAACTTCCCCCCCCCCCACCATATCTTTGTTGTTGTTTAGTCGTTTAGTCGTGTCCGACACTTCGTGACCCCATGGACCAGAGCACGCCAGGCACGTCTGTCTTCCACTGCCTCCCGCAGTTTAGTCAAACTCATGCTGGTAGCTTCAAGAACACTGTCCAACCATCTCGTCCTCTGTCGTCCCCTTCTCTTTGTGCCCTCTATCTTTCCCAACATCAGGGTCTTTTCCAGGGAGTCTTCTCTTCTCATGAGGTGGCCAAAGTATTGGAGCCTCAGCTTCACGATCTTATCCTTCCAGTGAACATGCAGGGCTGATTTCCTTAAAAATGGATAGGTTTGATCTTCTTGCAGTCCATGGGACTCTCAAGAGTCACCTCCAGCACCATAATTTAAAAGCATCCATTCTTCGGCGATCAGCCTTCTTTATGGTCCAGCTCTCACTTCCATACATCACTACTGGGAAAACCATAGCTTTTACTATACGGGCCTTTGTTGGCAAGGTGATGTCTCTGCTTTTTAAGATGCTGTCTAGGTTTGTCATTGCTTTTCTCCCAAGAAGCAGGCGTCTTTTAATTACATGGCTGCTGTCACCATCTGCAGTGATCATGGAGCCCAAGAAAGTGAAATCTCTCACTGCCTCCATTTCTTCCCCTTCTATTTGCCAGGAGGTGATGGGCCCAGTGGCCATTATCTAGAAACCCCAAAATTTCTCATTCAGAAATATAATGCGGTCCAGCTAACCTTTTTTTGAACACAGACATTTCAATATTCCACTATGTAAAAATGACAACTGTGGACATAGAAGACTATTGTGCAGAAGAAACAAGTTATCTTGTCTAAAGGTAAAAGGTAAAAGACCCCTGGACAGTTAAGTCCAGTCAAAGGCAACTATGGGGTGTGATGCTCATCTCGCTTCAGGCCAAGGGAGCCGGCGTTTGTCCACAAACAGCTTTCCAGATCTTGGGGCCAGCCTGACTAAACTGCTTCTGGTGCAACGGGACACTGTGACAGAAACCAGAGCGCAGTAAGTGTTTACCTTCCCACAGCAGTATCTACTTATCTACTTGCACTGGCATGCTTTCAAACTGCTAGGTTGGCAGGAGCTGGGACAGAGCAATGGGAGTTTACCCCATCACGGGGATTCAAACCACTGACCTTCTGATCAGCAAGCCCAAGAGGCTCAGTGGTTTAGACCACAGCGCCACCCGCATACTAGTCCACTGCTTCCTGGTGCCCACTGGGACTGATAGCGTGGAAGGCAGGGAGCCCAACAGTAGGTGGCGCTAGACCCAATGGCAGGCAGAGCCAACTGATTCCAGCTTTGTCCCCATCCCCCACCTTGTTGAATTCTACACGGATTAAGGTGGAGGAAACTAACAGGCAGTGCTACCCCATGGACTGGGCGCAAGTAAGAAGGCAGGACAAGCGAGGGCTACCTGAGGGCAGACTGAGACTGGGGGTCCACCCTAATGGACCAGACTCCAGTGGTCTTAGATGCCTCCTTTCCACAGACAAGGAGGTTATCTGATGGAGGTTATCTGATGGAGGGTCTCCTACCAACCAGCAGGCTGGGTTTAGGCAAGCTTTGGCCTTCCAGACATTGAAGAACCACTGGCCATGTTTGTTGAGGCTGGTGGGAGTTGTAGTTCAGCAACATCTGCAGGGTCAAAGCTTTCCCAATACCAGATTCTTTGAGAAAGACATTTCAGAAAAAAAGAAAGAAAAGGCCAAAAGGGTCACACCTTCTCCACAAGGATTCTTGATCAAGTTCCTCTCCAGGTGAGAAAAAACATAGAACTCTTTGGTCTTCTTCAAGTTCTCATTTTTATGGCGGTATTTGCTCCTCCAGAAGATGGGCAAGTCCACCAGGTCTCTCCACCGGGAGCAGACCAGCCGGCAGCTGAGAATCAGCTCGTTCATAGGAATCAGCGACAAGATGTCCAGCATGACGTGGTCTGGCAAGTTGCCAATGTTCGTCATCTCCCTTCAAGGGCCTGCGAAGAAGAAAAACAAAACAGAACCATAAAAGGGAAGAGGGTCACACGAAGTCTATTTGCAGGAAGCAGATGCCGATCTCATGAGCATCCTTGACGTGGAAGCTGTCTCCAAGCGTCAGAGGCCTTCAGAAGCAAAATGAGAAGAGCAGGTGCAGGTGGTCCCCGGTTCAGACTGCAGAGGTGGGCCATAGATCTGTGTGGTGAATCTTCTGCAGCATGAGGGCCACATTCCTTTCTAGGGAGTCTCCCGGGGGCCAATGGTGGGTGGGGCCAGAAGCAAAATAGGGCAGAGCAGCAAATATTAATTTGGAACTTTTTGTACAGCAGAGGAGCTCACACACTACTTTGTCCTCCATCCAGGCAAGCCAGATGCAGGATCTGAGTTCAAGGACACATTCAGGCCAGGCAAAAACTCTTAAGGAAGGTATGAAATAAGGCTGGTGATGGGCAAAGCCTGGGGAGAGAGGATTTGCCTGAAGGTCCCCCATCCCTATCCCTCTCTGCTTCTTATAGGAGCACAGGAAACTGCCTTATACAGAATCAGGCCAGTATTGTCTACACTGTCCGGCAGCAGCTCTACAGTGCTTCAGGCAGGGGACAGTCCCAACCCAACCTGGAGATGCTGGAAACTGAACCTAGCACTTTCTGTACACTCTACTACTGTGGTCTTTTCCCTAAAAACAAAGTAAGATTCTAGTCCTCATGGTTCCAAATTATGGCTACATTAAATAGGAATTATACTGAGTCAGAACAGTGGCCCACCTGGCTTAGTATTGTCTACACTGACTGGCAAGATTTCGGGCAGAAGTCTCCCAATTGTAACTGGAGATGCTGGGGACTTCTGTATGCAAGGCAGATCTCTGAGCTACAGCCCTTTGCGATGGGGAGGTTTAAGGTGAGACAAGAACGGCCTTTCTGGATCAGACCACAAAGGGCCATCTTATGCAGCATCCTGTGACCCTTCGGGGCAGGCAAACCAGGTCCCCTCCAGGAAGCCCACAACAGGGCATGATGCCAGCAGCCCCCACTCCACTCCCTGAGTAGTATTCTCAGATTCCGAAATCCAGAGGTTGCATATAGGAACTGGGCTTTTATGCCGGGGGCATAAAAGTAAATTCTGTGCAAACCCTAATAAGCATAATACATTACTGGGTAGCTCAGTTGGTTAGAAGTGTGGCACTGATAATGCCAAGGTCGCAGGTTCGATCCCCATGTGGGACAGCTTTATTCCTGCATTGCAGGGGTTAGACTAGAGAGGGTCCTCGGAACCCTAAGATTCTATGAGCAAGACGATTCTCCAGTTTCAGTTCCTGCTCTCATTGACCTGAGGCCATGAGCATGTTGGAAGAGTGCCACTCTGCACATGTTCAGGGGCATCCTCTTTCACCACCCTCTGCTACCGAACAGCTCCCAAGCCTTCTCGGGGCCACTGCCCAACTAACTCCCTTTTTGCTGATCCTACCCAAGACTTTGGTGGGATGCGGGTGGCGCTGTGGGTTAAACCACAGAGCCTAGGACTTACCGATTAGAAGGTTGCCAGTTCGAATCCCTGCGACGGGGTGAGCTCCCATTGCTCGGTCCCTGCTCCTGCCAACCTAGCAGTTCGAAAGCACGTCAAACTGCAAGTAGATAAATAGGTACCACTCTGGCGGGAAGGTAAACGGCGTTTCCGTGTGCTGCTCTGGTTCGCCAGAAGCGGCTTAGTCATGCTGGCCACATGACCCGGAAGCTGTACGCCGGCTCCCTCGGGCAATAAAGCAAGATGAGCGCCGCAACCCCAGAGTCGGCCGCGACTGGACCCAATGGTCAGGGGTCTCTTTACCTTTTACCTTTACCCAAGACTTAAGACGTCCCCCCACCCCAGCCAGGCGCGCCTTACCCTCAAAGGACTGCCTTTGGGGGCGTTTACCTGGGCTAGGAAGCGAGCAGGATCCAGCTGGGAAAGATGAGCAGTCTCTGCCCCGCTCGGCTTCCAGCTTCCGAAGGCAGGCAGGCAGGACAAGTGGGAAGAAGAACCAGGAACCGTTCCCCCTTCACCCCGCTGCTGCTTTGACTCCTCCGGGGAGGGGAGGGGCGGACTACGCAGGCGGCGCCTCCCCCTCCGTGGGCGGTCCGGAGATGGGAATCCCGGGCAAGGCGATGACGCGCGTCTGCTGTCCTCACGCAGCTCCTTGCAGCGACGGTCGTGCCGTCCATCGCGCGAGGTGTGACGTTAACTAGGAAGTTAAATCCCAGGACGGACTTCGGGTCTTAGCCTCGTGTCAGAAGAGCGCAGCTTCTGAATCATCTTCTTGCTCTCTTTTTTTTAATGTATTTTTATTACAGTTTTTCTTGGTTTACAAAAGTATGTGCAATGTCTCTCTCTCCTTTTTTTTCAAGTAACATTTTTAACAGATCAGTTTTGTTTGTTGAGACATTAGAAAGAAAAGGGAGAGAGGTGGACATCTTCTTTCTTTTATGTTTTAAATTACGAAAGGGGGGGGTTCATAGGTTCTCAAGGAATGTGGCGCGGGGAGGAGGATGGCAAGTGGGGCGGGAAGATCCAAGCACAAATCAAACATTTGGACATTTCTGCCAACCCAGTGCCGGATTTACGTATAAGCTAAACAAGCTATAACTTAGGGCCCCACTCTCATGGGCGCCCAAATTTTTTTAAAGGGGTGTGGGACTGGATGTTCATTTCCAAAATATAAGATAAACAAAAAATGGCTTTAGATACCTGTTAGGTCCATAAATTACCATATATTCAACACAAAAAACCAGTGACAATTTGTTGTTGACAAAGGACAGCTGGACATATAAAGGGTCCCATTACCTTCAGTAGCTTAGGGCCTCATCAAGTCCGGAAAGATGGCGTCGGTTCAGAAAGCAGAAAGCAGAAAAAAGAAACAGCCATGGTGCATCTGCAGCAGCACAACCAGGTGCTGACCTTGAAAGCCCTAAACGGCCTCGGCCCAGTGTACCTGAAGGAGCATCTCCACCCCCATTGTTCAGCACGGACACTGAGGTCCAGCGCTGAGGGCCTTCTGGCGGTTCCCTCACTGCGAGATGTGAGGTTACAGGGAACCAGGCAGAGGGCCTTCTGGGTGGTGGCGCCCAACCTGTGGAACGCCCTCCCACCAGATGTCAAGGAAATAAACAACTATCTGACTTTGAGAAGACATCTGAAGGCAGCCCTGTTTAGAGAAGTTTTTAATGTTTGATGTTTTGTTCTGTTTAATATTCTGTTGGGAGCCACCCAGAGTGGCTGAAGAAATCCAGCCAGATGGGCGGGGTATATATGTATGTATGTATGAATGAATGAATGAATAATCAATAATAATTTGTTATTTATTTATTTATTTATTTATTTATTTATTATTACTTCACCTGCCCTCATTTGGCATTGGTCTCTGCAGCCACAGGATATGCTGCAACCTCCCAACAGTTTGACTTCACTCCCAAAAGCGCAGACGTTTCCGAGGCAGACGGATGCCAACAACATTCCCCTGTTGCCTTCCCTTCCTGTATTTTAATGTCTATTTATTGAATTTGACATCCCACCTTTTTCCCCAAGGAGTTCCAGGTGCCTTGCATGGTTCTCCCCCTCCTCATTTAATCCCCATTAAGAACCCTGCAAGGTAGGTTAGGCCAGGAGGCCATGACTGGCCCCAGTGAGCCTCATGGCCAAGTGGGGGGGGCAGGATTTGAACCCGGCATCTCCCAAGGTCCTAGTCCGACACTCTGACCATTTCGCCACATTTCAATATATATTTTGATATGTGTCCTACCTCAAGAAGCGGGAGGCCGTACAGACGTATGGCAACAGCAACAGATCACAAAAATAATTTAAAATGCATTTATTCTGCGGTACCAAAAAAAATACCTTGTAAAAGTCTCACCCTCACAAGAACAAGTAAAGAAACAATTGGCCCAGCCAAAGAAGGGGTGTGCTTTGTTTTCTCTCCAGCTTTAAAGGGAATTCAGCAAATCAGTTCCGTTGACCAACAGTGTAAGTAAATTTAAGGGTGATGCTGGTGTTAGTTATGCGCACACCTTTATGGTTACGTTCGTTGACATTTTGGCCTCGGTGTTCAAAGAAGATGTAGCGGACACCAGGAGGGCAGCCAAAGATGGAGTAACAAACCTACAGGATAAGGGGGGGGAGAGAAATATGGGTGGTGATTTGGGTAAAGTTTCATTTATGCATTATTATTCCTTGCCTGTCCCTTCACCGAAATGTCCCATAGGGCAGGCTGTTGCAGCATTTATTTCAAAGTACAGTTGTACCTCAGTTTTCAAACATAATCCATTCCGGAAGACCGTTCGAGTTCTGAAATGTTCGAAAACAGAGGCGCAAAGGAAAGTCTGCAAATTTAATAAACAAAATTGAGAAAAATAACATACAGTGGTACCTTGGCATGTTCGACTTCCAAGGCGTGTTCGAAAACTGAAGCATTTACTTTCAGGGTTTACGGCGTTCAAAAACCGAAAAGGTTTGTCAACAAGACGTTCAGAAACCAAGGTACCACTGTAATTTTCAAAATAAGATTTGCAAATGCAAAAATAAGATTCGTCTAGAGTACATAATAAGGGACGCGTGTGGCACTGTGGTCTAAACCACTGAGCCTAGGGCTTGCTGATCGGAAGGTCGGCGGTTCGAATCCCCGCGATGGGGTGAGCTCCCGTTGATTGGTCCCAGCTCCTGCCAACCTAGCAGGTCGAAAGCACGTCAAAGTGCAAGTAGATAAATAGGTACCACTCCGGCAGGAAGGTAAACAGTGTTTCCGTGCACTGCTCTGGTTTCACCAGAAGCAGCTTAGTCATGCTGGCCACATGACCCGGAAAAACTGCCTGCGGACAAACGTCAGCTCCCTCAGCCAGTAAAGCGAGATGAGCGCCGCAACCCCAGAATCGTTCATGACTGGACTTAACTGTCAGGGGCCCTTTACTTTTACCTTTAGAGTACATAATAAAAACAGCCATAAATGCAAGAGGAACAAAAAGGCAACAGTAATCTTTTAAAAGCTGCGAAAGGAATGAATAGTTATATCGAGACAGTTAGGGATGCACACAACTGTTCCAAAATGGAAGAGCACAGTAGAAATTGTGCAACAGAGGTGAACTGCACAAAGATAGGGGGCAAGGCAGAAATCTCTCTTCGGACCCATTTGCTGCAGACTGCGACTCCTGGGCCCCAACCTTCCACCTGGGTTATTAATAAAGAAATAAATATAACCAAACAGTGTTATCTTGGTTCCTGCACAGAATGTGTTCCAGAAGTCCGTTCGACTTCCAAACCAAGGTGTGACTTCTGATTGGCGCAGGCGCGCAGAAACAATAGTGGAAGCCGCATTGGATGTTTGGCTTCCGAAAGCGTTAGAAAACCAGAACACTCACTTCCAGGTTTCGAACGTTCGGAAGTCAAAACGTACGAGTACCAAAGCATTCAGGAACCAGAGTACCAAGGTGTTCAGGAACCAAGGTACCACTGTAATAATTTTTTATTATTTATACCCTGCCCATCTGGCTGGGTTTCCCCAGCCACTCTGGGTGGCTTACAGTTAAGTTTTATTTATTTATTCGACTTATATACTCCCCTTCATCTCAAGATCTCAGAGCAGTTCACAAGGTGAAAATACAAGGTGAAGCCACAAATAAATAGTCAAAACAAAAAAAACACAAAACAGTAACCTCCCTCCCACAAACATATTTAAAAGGGTGTAGAATATTAATCAGCATAAGGCCTAGTTGAAGAGAAACGTTTTCATCTGGCACCTAAAGATATATAATGAGGGCACCGGGGTGAACCTCCCTGGGGAGAGCATTCCACAAACGAGGAGCCACTGCAGAAAAGGCCCTGGCTCTTGGGTTGCCACCTTCTGAAAGGGGTACACGAAGGTGGGTCTCAGATGGTGATTGCAGGGTCTGGGTCAGTTTATATGGGAGGGGCAGTCCTTGAGGTATTACGGTCCTGAGCCATTTAATACTTTATAGGTCAAAACCAGCACTTTTGAATTAATTGGGTCCAGAAACTAAATGGAAGCCGGTGCAGTTGGTGCCAGGTGTAATATGCTCAAACCATCTTGCCTTGATGAGCAACCTGGCCGCCAAATTCTGCACCAGCTGAAGCTTCCGAACCGTCTTCCTTCTTACCTCTCGCCACCTTCCATGTTTAGATCCATTCATGAACAAGTCTTCAGAACACCGCTCTCTTAGGACCTTGAAGTCTGCTGATAACAGCTGTACCCGCAGCTGGTATTGGGTTCCTTTGGTGCAGTAAAAACTATATTGAGAAACAGAAAATATGCCACACCATAAAAATCATACTGAATCCTCACTCTCACAAGGAGCTAAAATCTAAGAAGAGCCTGGCTGGTGGATCAGGACAATGGCCCAGCTTAGCCCAGAATTCTCTTCTCTTCCTCTAATAATTGTCAAAGTTGTAACAGATATCATCTTGGCCCCTCTCCTGCCAATCACCGCTGGGCAGTTAGTGGCGGATGACCCTGTGGCTGGTCACTCCAGCTACTAGCCAGAGGCCCCTGCAGGAGCCCACCCCACCCATGTTGTTAGAAGCCATGATGACAGAGTTTTGTTGGCCAGGGTAACTGGCAGGCAGTCACTGTCCACCATAGGAAAGCAATGTGTATCTTTTAAGGAAGCTGTCACGCCACCAAAGCTGGGCTTAGCATGGTGGTGAAAGCCTGCACAGGTCCAAAAAAGTTGGACCACTGTTGCAGCCTATTGCCAACTTTGGAACTGTCCGTGGTCCTGAAGTCCAGGTCCTATCAGATCTGCACCATTGTCCTGTCCATTTGCATTTCTTCGTCCAGAAAGTATTGATCTGATGTGTAGAGATCTTTCCTAATCTAATTAATTCAAGAGGGTTCTGGAAGCTTCTCTATGTGAAAGAAACAAGCAGAAGGTTCGTGATGTTTGGGTTATTACTTCAGAGAAGCTGAGTACAGCTGGTTTAAACTGGTTCTGTTATCTCTTTCAGTCAAGGTCACTCTGACTATAAAAGTAAAGCCAGAAGGAGCCTGGGTTTCACTTTCTCATTCTATCTCTCTTC